GAGGGAGGGGAAAAATGAGGACCTAATGCCGGGGGTTTAAGTGGAGAGAAAATGTTTTGAGAATGATGAGGGCAATGAATGTACAAATGCACTTTACACCATTGATGTGTGTATGGATTGGGATAAGAGTTGTATGAACCCCTAATAAAATGATTTAAAAAAATCTATGGCAGCAAAAGTAGCACAGTGGTGTGTCTGACCCTTAATTAATAAACATTAAATTGAAATAAAAATCTATTTCATCTCCTTATCACTGCTCCTTCAAGAAGTTGGGCTGAAAAAAGGAGATGAAACATGGGGAAATAAAACTCGAGGGGGAAATGGGTTCAAGAGAGCTATGTGTGTGTGTTTCATAACTCTTCATCGGGTGAACTATGAGGACGAAATGAGTTGGAGCATGTAATGATCTAAAAGCAACAATGTCTTGCACATAACCAGCCTTCTGTGGCTATTGTCAGAGAGATGTAGAGGAAGGAAGGGAGAGGGAAAAGGGAGAAAGAAGAGGGCAGCAGGGAAGAGAGAAAGGAGAAATATCAGAGGCTTCCTTACTCTTTATGTGTCCTCTCCAACATTTGCAAATCCCGCCTCTGATCCGCCATTTGGTTCAGAATGACTTTCCTCTTTTGGGCAGCAGCTGTCTCCAGCTGATGCTTCATATAATTCTGTTCTTGATTTCGTCTCTCCATCAGCAACTCATCCCCTGGCTTACCAAAGATGGGTTCTGTAGAGTCTGGCTCAAACACAGGTAATCGGAAAGGTTTGTTCTTTATCTGAAACAAGGACAGCCAGATGTCAGGTGATAATTATGCCAGAGAATAAATCTGATGCACAACTCTGTAGTTTAGTCAAATACCAAGAGCTTTCAACCAGGTGGAAATGGTTCAAGACACCTAATGGAGAACACAAGAGGGTATCTATAATATTACAGTATTTCTATGTCTTTTTAGAATGTGATTGAAGCACTGCATAATTTTAAAATAATTACTTTCTCCTACCTGTGTATCCAAAGCTCTTTTGTAACACTGGGATTCTTCCATCTTATCTTTCAAATATTTGGCTCTTTGTGCAGCAAGTCTGGCAGGTAAAAATGAGGGAGGAGGTACAGTGTTACATCGTCTCTACTGATACTGATTATCATTAAATCATGCTTAATAAGTATTCACAGCAATGAAAGGTCTACATAATCTAAAGGGATATTTCCTTTTAAAAAGAAAAGTAATTCAAATGCACAGGAGATCAGGAGAAGGGAAAGGGGGAAGACTCCATGGGGCACAAGTGATTTTCAGAGCAGTGTAACTATGTGGTACGGCACAATCACAGTGACATGGCACTATACATGTCAAAATCATAGGAATCCTAATGGAAACTGTAGCCTTGATTTGATCATTGTCTAGTTGTCAGCTGCATCGAGCGGGTCCCTTACCCAGGGCAACTCAATGTACCACGGGAGTGGGCCATTGTGAGTGAGTGATGGGGTTTTCTTTGGCTGATTCGAGGTCTTTCTCCCTAGTAGGTCTATCTAGAAGTCTTGCTGAAACCTGTCCAGCGTTACAGCAACGCATAAACCTCCACTGACTAAAGAATGGTGGCGTGAGTCACTGGGCGTGGAGGATCAGAACCATGATCTCTGGGAATATCAAGATCAATGATAACCCTGAGACCAAAAGAACCAGATGGTGCCCAAATACCACTGCCAGCTGTTCTGAAAGGGATCACATTAGATAAAGTGGAATGAGTCTCAAATTCACAAAAACAGACCAGACTTACTGGTGGGACCCCAACACCATGGTCCTTAAGTCACCCCTAAGATCTAGACAAAACTCCTCACTCCTGTGGCTCAAATTCTAGCCAAACAATAGACAGGTCTATATGGAAGTATGCATACCTTAGAGTAATCAAGCATCTAAGATCATAAAGGCAACATTTACCCAAGGACAAAATTCAAAAAGGTTGGGAAAGGAGGAGGACGAGAAACAGAAAACACAGAGAAGTGGGCTAATTGATATTACATTATGAGGACTGCAATCAATGAATGATATGAAACAAAATATGTGTGAATGGAAAAACTGAGATGCTCTGCAAAGCTTCACCCAATATACTATGTGTACCTACAGGGAACCTATATGGTCTGTAAAGGGAATAAAATGGGGTGTATACATTTTACACATTATATAGAGATACATTTCTTGGTCACATAAAGGCTTCTTATTTGCTCTAGGAGTCTTAGGAGTCTCAGCTCACACTATGACTGACTTCATTAGGTGCTCTCCTGACTCAGAAAGTGAGACCCACACCCCAACCCCCTCACCCCGCCTGCCCACAGACACGAATGCTCTGGTCCTGATCTGACCCTAGGCCTACGATGACCCAGGGTGACCAATCAGGACTCTTTCCTGGTGATTTAGAATTGAACTAGCATTTATATAAACCTGGGCTGGAATAAAGGCAATGTCAGGGCTTTTCAGTCTCTGATTCCAGTCTCCCTGCATCTCTAGGCCATCGCTTCCTGCAGCTCCTGTGGCACATGCATACGCACTTATAATAAAACCCCAGCTTGGTCTGGAGGTTGCCTAAGCATCTCATGTCTGCAAGTGATGTCTGCTCAAGGGAGATCCCTCCTGCTATACCAGTATCAGTAAATCACAGCAAAATGATACTCGAAAACTGCAGCCAGGATTGGCCATCATTTTTCTATCGGTGGTAATAATTATGATGGATTTTTCACTTTTCTACCTAACATCATGCTCTGGTACTGGCTGCTTGCTAGCTAGGTTAGTTTGCTCCGTTGGTTGGGTGTGGAAAGGAACTACCAAGGCTGAGTAAATCCCACATGAAAATGAACTTCACATGAACAAGCACGTCTAGGTGGACTCACTCCTCCGTGAATTGTACTTGCTCCAGGCGGTCCATCAAGTCTCTGTTCAGTCTTTGCTTTATTTCTTTTTCCCGTCTGTTATCTATTTGTTTCAGGAGACTTCGGGAATATTCCTCTTGCTTATAAGCATTAATTTCAGAACTGAGTGGCCGCTTATCAAATATACAGGATTTCTAGGAAAAAAAGAAGCAATTTGTTTATGCTATAATACCAAAAACCAACAAAAAAATCAAGTTAATAATGCAAAAGACCGAGTCCCATTGGAATATATTTATTGATTTTTTTAATATTTGCCCAGCCCTCAACACACTCACCAGCTAGAGTTGAGGTGGGGGGGAAAAACGGTACCCCTTGTCATGGAGTCTACTCTAACTCAGAATGGCCCTACAGGACAGAGTAGGACTGCCCCATAGTGTTTCTAAGGCAGTAATCTTTATGGTAGACTGCCGCATCTATCTCCCATGAAGCACCTGGTGGGTTTGAACCACCAACCTGGCAGTCAGTAGCCCAGCACTTAGCCACAGCACACTCCAGGATTTCTTTAAAGTTGAGGTGTCCCACAGAATAAAATAATATGAGACCAACTCAGGTATGAGCTGAGTCAGAGCACCATGTCTGAGGAAGAACAATGTGGACCTGGTCCTGAGCTAACACCTAAGATATTCAGGTTTCGAATGTGTGCAGAAGCATGAGCGAGAACAGAGACATGGTAAAGAGTAAGACCTGAGAATCTATCCTAGGTCTGACCATTCTGGATAATGTCGATCCAACAGTGAACAAGAAGAGACTCTTACTAATTAAACCTGCTTTCTGGGGAATCAGACAGATAATGTACAAATAAACTGATTTTTTTTTAATCCAGTTGCCAACAAGTCAGCTCTGACTCATGGTGATGTTGTGGTTCAGAGTAGAATGGTGTTCCATGGGGCTTTTAATGGCTGGTTTGTTGGACGTTGCTGAGCAAACCCTGCCTCTGAAGCGCTGAAATCACCTTTTGATTAGCAAGCTAATGGCTGGCACCCCTCAGGGACTCTGAAGTAAACAAATATACCAAATAATTTAAGGTAAGGATAAGTGCTTCATGCATTTGAAAGTGAGTTGTCTCCACTGCAAATATCAGAGGGAGCTGCCCAGGCAGAAAGAATAACCAAGGCAAAGACACAAAATGGAAGCCAGTCTAGCCTGGTCAACACACAGACGACCTATGAGATGGAGGCACGGCGAAGACGAAGCAGACCAACTCTAAGAAGAAGGCCTGTGGTGAACAAGGAGCGAGCCTCGACTTTCTCTGAATTCAATGGAAGACCACGAGAGGTTTTAAACAGAACAGTCAGTTCCGTTAACAGTTTGCAAAGATCACTTTTCTAGTGTGTGGACAAAAGACTGAATGAAGCCAGTGTAAGGGTAAATGCAAATTATTAAAAAGGAAAGCATGACTTTTCCTTCGTGCAAAGAATCCAAGAGAACTCCCACACATGTTTTTTAGAGAACTTACTTATGAAAACTTGTCATTGTGAACCCTTTCTCTGCCCCTTTTGAAAAGCTACCTGACCTTCTAGTCCATTTTACAACCCTGGACTCTTTTTCTTACGGACCTAGGACCCTGTCTTCCATTAAAGGGGCGGAGGTTAACTTTAGCAAGCACCTGACTCAAAGCTGAAAGCCTATTTCCTGTCATAAAGAGATGAGAAATTTGGTTTCCCTAGCAATTAGTAAGCACGGTGGTTACCAAGCACCAGGTAACCACTATATGAATTAAATTTATAAGCTATAAATTTAAAATGGCGCTGTCAAATCATCTTATTTGAGGATTAATTCTTGTTTACCTTGAGATCATGTATGTAATGAGTTGTCTCTGCTTAGCTATGTATGTGTGCCAGAGTATAATTGTGCTCCATTGTGTTTTTAGCAGCTTAATTTTTGGAAGTAGGTCATCAGCCTTGAACTTCTATGTACTCAGTTAACAGCCTACCGCATTACCAATGACACCACTCAGAAACTCCTGGCCCTATAGAAGGCTGCGCTTTCTTTCTGTCTTTACAATCTCTCGAGTAGTTTTTCTGTGCCTCTCATTACATTCTTGCTCATTGCTTTTTTAAAAAGACTCACTGCCATCAAGTCAATGGGGCAGGTGAGAGCTGGCCCTGTGGATCTCTGAGACCGGGATTCAGAAACTGTGGGAGTAGAAAGCTTTGTCTTTCTCCCTTTGAGTGGCTGGTGGTTTTGAACTGTTTACCTGGTGGTTAGCAGCCCAGTGAGTGTCTACTATGCCACCAGAGCTCCAGAATGTGTATTCAAACTACTTTCTCTTCTACTTTTATTTTTCTCTCTTCTACTTTTCTGAAGGAGTCTTCTGTGTTGGCAGAATATTTTGGTTTTAGTTTTATTCTCCAACAGAGGATGCAAATGTGTATTAGGCAAGTATTGCAGAAGTTTGGTCGAGGACGATTACATTTAAAATGGAGAGAAGTAAACATATAAGAAAAATTTTTAGAAGTTAAAATAACAATTTGTTGGTGGTTGGGGGTAGGGAAGAGGAGAGGGAGGAATCTTGGCCGACCCCTAGATATGAGGTTGTTCAACTGGATGGTGGGTAGGTGATGCCACTTGGTACAATGGGAAGACCGGGAGAAAAGGTTAGGGAGCAAGTAAAAACTTCTGTTTATGTTTAGGACATCTACAGATGTGTTAAATCAGGGATTCAGAGTGGGCAATAATACACATAATCTGGAACTCAGAGGAGAGCCTGCCTGCCTAAGACGAACCTCAAAAACCTCTCTCACTTAAAAACAATTTTTCTTTCTTTCTCCTGCCCACTAGCATGGTCGTCTATCACTCTCTTCTTTACCCAAAACCTGTGTGCCGGAAAGTCTTCCCAAATCCCACTTACTCAACTCTCCTCCGCTCCCGGTGCACCCTGCTCAAAGCTTTACCATGGCATTCATTACCCTGCACTGTGTCTGTTGACCTGTCTGCCCCACTAAATGGAGACCTCTTTGAAAGAATTTCGTCTTTTCCTCTTTCTGTTCCTAGCCATCAGCATTAGAAAGAGTTTAATAGATTGTCTTGATGAATAAAGAAAATAAACAAAGTTTTATTAGATTTATGTCCAAAATGTCAGGCCACCTAGAAAGTGGTATAAGAGGAGGAGGATTTGAGTGGAATAAAGAAAAGCATATAAGGGTTGGAACTGGTAAAATAAATGGGGAAGCAGGTGGCTCACCTCCATGTGAAGTAGGGCTTCTCAAACTTTAATGAGCTCACAAATCACTTGAGATCTTACTAAAATGCAGATTCCCAGTGAAGACGCTAAAGTGGAGACCTCAAGTCTGCATTTCTAGCAAGCTTCCAGGCGATGCCAATGCTGCTGGTGCAGACACGACACTTTACACGTCTTTCAACTCCTCTCTTTAGATCACGCACTACCTGGGGCAGGATTCTAGTATGCTGCCCTCCCCTGCCACTGTTCCTGGCTAAGAATAATAATAAATAAAAAAACTGGGGTCTTAAAGACTAGGGCACAACTATTGATCTCTCCCTATCCAGAGGAAAGAAGAGTGATGAAAATGTTCAAAAGTCCATGGAAACAATTGATCCAGTGAACTAATAGGCATGCAAACATTGGTCCACCCAACCCTGAGACCAGAACAAGACAGCACCCTCCTACCACTCCAACTGCTCCGAAAGGATCGCAGTCGATGATCTTGGAGAGAATGGGAGAAAAGGGGTTATCAACTCTCCAAATCATGAGAGACCAGGCCTACCGGTCACATAGAGACTGATGGAACCCCTGAGTATGGCCTTCACTCATTCTTCATGTCCAGAGCTGAACTCACCGCATGGTGGAATGTTCCGCCATTTGGTATCAGAGGGAAGCTTTGTTCAGTAGGGTTCGGAAAGGCAGAGGAACAGAAAAAGAACACGCAGGGAGATGTGAGAGAAATGGTGATTCTTTGAGGGGCTGCGACGGCTAAGTTCAAACAAAACACGTGTGCTTCAACTACTGGATGTGCAACAGGTCATCTGCTCTGTAAACGTGCACCCAGCTCATAAGGAAGCACTAAAAACAACCAATAGTAGGGGCCAGAGTGACTAGTAGACTGTGCTGTGAATGTGAATAGTGGAATCAGTAGACTAAAACACTTTGCCTTAGAAGGAAGTTTCAACCTGCCACGGCCCATTTTTTAACTAAGCCACTTAATAAAATGGCATAAATTCCCAGACCTGTAATGAGTTCAAATGCACACAGACGGGACAGTCTTTAGAAATACAAAATTGCAAAGGGCTCTTACATAAAATTCCGGTTTTTCATTCTTGTGGTTTCTTATAGCATCAGCAACTCCAAGATTATAGGCAGCATTTTTCTGATTCTGTTCTCTGGCAACCAGGCTATTCATCTATTGTGGGAAAAAACAGATTTTACTAGCATTGAAAACCTTAGCTTTACCTATCCCCGTAGTAGGTGAACAATTAAACGTGTCGTAGCACAGCCAGCTGTTGAAACACTGGCGCGGGCTTTTGTCGCCCTTCCATGCTGTTTCCTCAGAGTCGGTGCTCTCCCGTCGCTGCTGGAGTACCTACCTGCTGCTTCACAAAAGCCTCCTGTTCTTTCATCGTCTGATACTGACGCAGGAGTTGCTCGTCTTCCAACTCCCTCCTTTTCCTCACTTCACCGTAGTAGAGGGGGGAGTTCTGCTGTGCTCGTTGCAAACACACGTAGCACATTTCCTACAAGCACACGTTTCCATTAACGACAAATGAATTCTTACCTTTAACTTCATCTTCACAATCCCTCACCAGCTCCCCAAAGTAGGGTATCGAGAAACATATTTTATAGTTGTGTCTAATTTATCAATCACTAATTAACAAACAGCACTCATTTAGCAAAATGAGATCTTGCCAAATAGACTCCAGGAATATCCAGGATTTACTCAGCTCTCATTTGATCAGAGCAAAAAAACAAAAACCCAAACCAAACCCACTGCCATTGCAACCTTCTTTCTAGCAGGCGTCCTCAAACTTTGTAAACAGGGGGCCAGTTCACTGTCCCTCAGACCGTTGGAGGTCCGGACTATAGTTTAAAAAAACACTATGAACAAATGCACACTACACAGATCTTATTTTGAAGAAAACAAACAAACGGGGCAAAAACACCCGGCTGGCCTGATAAATGTCCTTGGCGGGCCGCATGTGACCTGCGGGGCCATAGTTTGAGGAACCCTGTTCCAGAGGGTTGGTTTCTGTGCCTGTAAATCTTTACCAGAGCAGACTGCCTCATCTGTCTCCCATGGAGCAGCTGAGGGATTTGAACCTGTGATTAGCCCCCCAGTGATTAACCTACAGCACTGCCAGTGCTCTATAGAGTGTACATGGCAAATGAAAAAGTAGGGATTTTCTAATTCTATTTCTGATACCTGGTAGATCTTGACTGGTAGGTAGATGGATCTATGAATCTTGAGTCATTTCCACATATTAAAGTTAAGAACGAGGGCTTATTCCCAGAACACTTTCTGGTAAACAAAAGTCAGAGGAAGATTCTGACCGGGTTTTGTTTGTATACTGTACCTGTCCTGCCTTCTTATGATCCTGACAAGAATGGACTGGAGAAGTTTGGGGCTTCTTATCATTCTTGCATTTCAGAAAACCTGGAGGTTCTAAGCTATAAGAACAATGCAACATTAATGTCTACTAGTCTCACCTCTAAAATAATTTTAATTTTTAGAGGCCAATACAAATACAGAAAAAGAGAACTATCTCAGTTGATTTTTTGTATAGGAATTGTATTCACTGGAGATAAAGAACATGCATTTAGTGTCCAGATAAGGCTAGATTTAAATCCCAACATTGTCACTTACAAACTGACTGGCAGTAGACAAGCTACATAATCTTGAAAAATCTGGGTTACCAACTCTAAGAACTGGGGATAAAGATCCATTTATTCATTCCATAAAAATGTACTGAGTACTTCCCAGTGCACAACTAAGCATAGAAGATGCAGTGAAGAATAAAACATGAAAAATAACCTACCCACATACAATTTATATTCTGCTTGGAAGAGACAGTCTGGCAACAAGATAAATAAGTGAACTCTATAGCATGTTACATGGAGATAAAAACCATGTTGGGCTAGAGGATAGAGCATTAAATCCTAAATGCAGAGGCCAGGTAAGTTCTTAGCAAGAAGATGCCATTTGAGTAAATATATGAAAGGAAGTAGGAAAGCTGAACTAGAGATAGCTGATGGAAAAGGCGCTCTGGCCAGAGTGAGTGAGTGCGAAGTGCTTGTGGTGAGAGCACCAGGTTTGTGGCTGGGGGGTGATGGGTTAGGGGAAGACTAGGAGAGAAGTCGGGCTTCTAACGGGAACCCATTGAAGGGTTTCAGGCAGAAGATGAGATCCCCTGACTTACATTTTAACCAGAATTATTCTAGCAGCAGTGTTAAGAATTTTACAATGTTGAGTCAGAAGAAGAACCCAGAGATGATTTCAATAATTCAAGAGAGAGGGAGCTGATAACCGGGCCCAGGGTGGTGACAGTACGGATGGAGAGAAGTGGTTGGATTATGGGTCTAGTTGGAAGGTGGAGCTGACAGAACTTTCTGACTGCACACCGTGTATGATACAGTTGTGTGTCAACTTTGCTAAGCCAGGATTCTCAGTGATTTGGCAGTTACGCCCTAATAGTCCCCCAGGAGGAGGCCTCAAGGGTGTGGCCTGGTCCTAACATAAGGTTACTTGCTTTTTGCTGGGTCTGGATTCTACATTGGGCTCATCCATCTCTGGTCCCTTGGACTTGAGCCAAAAGCCTGTGCCATCTGCCAATCTTGAGAGTTGGCCACAGGCTGCCATCTTACCTGCCAGCCTTGTACTCACATTCCCTTCTGTAGACAGAAGCTTGTCATCTTCCTGCCGTTCTTGGATGCATCACCCCTGGCAGCTACTTGACTCACAAGGCAACTTCCAGCCTAACACACAACCCTCAGACTTGAAATGTGCCCACTCCTACAACCGTGTGAGCCATTTCTGTGCTATTAGCCCCAGCATCAAGCATATGGAATATACCCAAGAGTACTGGAGGAATAAATGAACAATTACTTAAACAAACAAGCAAAAAGACTCAAAAACATATTAACACAGAAGCAAAGTCAACGCATTACCTTTCAGACATATTCCTCGCGCCACTCTTAGTCTGCCCAAACGTGTCTGTCAAATTCACACCTGTCACTTTGGCAGGAGAGATAGCCTGTCTATCTCTACAGTTCTTGGGCGGTGAGATCTCTGTAAAGAATGAATGAAACCGGTTCCCTTTTCCTGGTAACAGAGTTGTTTCTTCTCAGTGCAGATAAGCAAAATCTGTTAATTTTATCAGGGACATTCTTCCCTTAGGATACATTCTCTTATCTGTAAATGATTTTTTCCCCTTACACCTAATGAGGTTTAAAAATTGTTTTTGCGAGTAGAGATACCAGGAGGATTAGGGGAGAAACGGGGAATTGATCACAAGGATCAACTAGACCCCCTCCCAGGGGGATAAATAACAGAAAAGTGGGTGAGGGGTGACGGAGGATAATGTAAGATATGGAAAAAATCATCTATAACTTATCAAGGGTTTGTGAGGGAGGGTGGGAGAGGGAGGGAGGAGGAAGAAATGGGGAGCTGATAGAATGTTTTGAAAATGATGGCGGGGGGCAGGGGAAAATGGGGAGGGAGGGGAAAAATGAGGACATAATGCTGGGGGTTTAAGTGGAAAGAAAATGTTTTGAGAATGATGTACAAATGCGCTTTACACAATTGATGTGTGTATGGATTG